CATTTTCCGTATTCAGGGCCATCTTCAACTGGATATGGTACACATGATCGATCGGATCGGTTGTTCTGTCAAACAGAATAAAGACTGGCATAGCAAACTTGCTTGGATGCGGGGCATTCAGGATCTCGTCAGTGAATGGTGAATCAACCGTCTGAGCCGCGGATCGGAGTGCTTCATTCTCTCTCTGGAGCCCAGCGGTAGCTCTGTGAGCTACGGTTCTGCTCTCCGAACCGCGATGAGTGATTGTAACCATGGAGGGCCGGTAGGACGGATCGTACGACCGTTCCTCTATGAGCTCTCTTTGCCAAGGCGACACAACTCGGTGGCGATCAACCTCTATCACTTCCTCTCGGTTGAACCTTTCCCGATGCGGATCGAAGGTCATGGCTTCGTTCTGTCTGATTTGCTCATGTCGCGGATCAACGTGAGTCGATCCTTCGTGATCCTCGACTCGACGAACATTTAGCGGCAAATCGTCCATCCTCCTTTCATCACGGTGGAGAGCTGACTGATTGTTCTCGGCTTGCTCGCCTTGATGTGCGATGTTAGATTGATCACCTCCTTCACCGGCCGGAAGTGGACGTGAAGCCGCGGGTATTTGCTGATGTTGCATTCCAGCTTTCAATTCTGCATTCTCTTTTTTGAGAGCTTCGATCAAGTTCATCAACTCCTCAAGCTTCGTTTGCTGGACAGCCTCTATCGGTTTGGAACTTTCACCTATCATTATTCCTGAATGGAGTAAAGGCATTAATCTCAAGTTTGTGAGTAGATCTGAGCTTCGTGAGTGCGAATTTTTCAGATCTGGTTTCGAATTCTCCGAATTATGCTTGCGGTTGACGAGATCTGAATTGTCCGAATTCTAAATCTGTCAGATTCGAACAACTCGTTGTTGCGTAGATCTGAAGCCACTTCCGCCAAAGCAACAGGAACTAAAATTCCTCCAGAGTAGGTCACAATCGCTCAGATCTGGATCCAACTCCCAAAGATCGAGTTTCGTTTCCACCAATTGGTCTGAATCCACGCGATATTGATCAATGATCAATCAATCCTCAACGTTTCCCACAGACGGCGCCAATTGAAGATGCAAGAAATTCCTTTTTTCTTTCTCTCTCTAGAACTCTTACATTTCAACAAAAAAAAATATCCCCCCTCCTCTATCCATTACCTCTCCTATTTATAGATACTTACAAACATTAATGGACTGTTAGATCTGGGCCCGTTCCTCTGTGAGTTTTTGGTCATCTTTGATGGGCTATTCGCGTTCGGCCCATATGTCAGTGTCTCTCTATGGGCTTGACCCATCTGCACGGACCGGATGTTGTGTTTGCGGGTCATATCCGGCCCATGTCACTTCGGGCCTCCTCAAATATACTATAATATTATTATTTAAAATATATATTAATATTTAAAACTTATTAAAAATATGTTGATTTACCTTTAAAATATATTTGAAAGTGTAGAAAAAGTATTAAAAGAGTCAATCTTATAAAAGTTTGGTGGTTTTTAAAGTTGTGAGATATTTTGATAAAGTACGATAATTCTTATTGATATGACCGACGTTATTATCTCATTAACCATTGCTTGACATGAGCCATTAATCTGTAGGAGGACTCGAATAGCGTAAAACCTAAGTTATGGTTTGTGGAGTACGTGGTCTCCAAGCCAAAGATTATCTATCATCACATCACAGTGAGACAAGGTTACATGCACCTTAGCCAATCGCGTATTAAGCCCGCCACTCGATCTATACACACACCATATATATAATATATAAGTATATATATACCAACATATATCATATACCATATCTTTTAATCGCTCGTAATAAATATATATATATATATATATATATATATATATATATATATATATATATATCCACATTTTGTTGTGAGATATTTTGATAAGATTATTCAGAATTTCAGATTGATATAACCCACATTATTATTTCATTAACCGTTGCTTCACATGAGCTATTAATCTGGTAGGAGGACTCAAATAGCGTAAAAACCAAGTTATGGTTTGTGGAGTTAATGGTCTCCAAGCCAAAAGATTATCTTTATCACATATTCAATATATATACACACACACATACCAACAAGGCTCAATACATACCCCAAGTGTTTCAGATGACGGACTCCCTAAATTAAAGGGACAACAATGGTCCTTGATCTTAATTAATAATGTGGTTATGCACATATCCGGAATTGCTGCTATTCAATTCGTCTAAAGACATGCAATCTCCGATATCGAAGAAGGTCCGGCGATGGGACAGCAGCAAGTTCGGTTATTTGCATAGGCAGATTAGATTCGCAGTGAGGGACATAATTGGCCGGTATAGGAGTACTCTATCAAGGTTGGTTCTCTACGTACTACAAATATTATGTTGGATTTTTTTCTAATTCTTTTTAAGGTTAAATTTCTATACGATGGTAGGTTTTTTTATTTTGGGTGTTGTGGAGGGAAAAAAACTCCCTCCAATAAAAAGCGCACATGTCACCATTTCCCATATCTACAGGCCAAGGACATATAAGGCCCATCATGCTCAAGCCCAAGTTGAGGGTATTTACAGCCCAAGACCATTCCATCAAGGCCGAATCAAGAAGCCATCAGCCCAGCTTGTCGTCAGCCCAGATATCAAAATATACTCAGCCCAAGAATGCACAAATCCTACCATTTGAAGAATTTACTGTAGAAGGAAAATTCGGATAGGAAGTTCTGTACAAGGCAAGTTCTATGTATGGAAAATTCAACAATGGAAAGAACTCTATTAGCAAAGAATGGTTATATAGAAAGAATTGGAGGGCAAGCAACGCGAGTCCTACCATAATTTTGCAATCTTTTGTATATAAATAGAGGCTAAGACCTCCAATCAAGGATCAAACAATTTACGCTTCTCTATACACTGCTCTTATTTATTTTTATTGTTTTTTGAGTGAGTTGTTTTATTTTTCTCAATCATTATTGGTTGAGCGAAATTTTGCACCTACACGAGTGTCTAATACCATGTACCATAATATGGGTCATATCTTGAATTGTACCTGTGCTGTGCTGTGGCTTGCAAAAATATGTTCTCCTTTGAATGAATTTTATTTGGTTATGTTAATTTCAACAGTCTTCAGTTTTTTTTTTTTTTTTAATTTTTTTTCTCTACTTTGGTTGGGCCTCCTTAATGTATGTTTTGCTTACGATGATGGAATATTTTGAGTGGAATTGTCAATTTTTTGGAGTCTCCAATTTCTTTTTTTCTAATTTTTTTTTAGGATATATGACTTGCAATAATATGTTTTCGTCTGTGGCATTCAACTTTGATCAGACGATTCAGACATGGTTTTTATATTTTATTTATTTATTTATTTTATACGGAGTAAATTCTTTGGATGGCCCTCCATAATGCATTGTTGTTTCTATTCAATTTTCCTGTTAATCTGTCTGTTTAGAAACTTGATCAGCTTCTAAATATATTTTTCTCCCTTTCAATAGACAATAGACATGCAATCCCTTCTTCCAATATTGTTCACTTGGGGTCTAAATTGGTCTAACAAATCTGTTTTTGTGATTATCTACCCATTTTCTTGTCTTAACATTAACAAGAAATTATCTAATTCAAATGACTTTGAAGAAATCCAGATTCTTAAATAGAGTTTGGATTTTAATAGTACAAATTATAATAAAATCTAAGGAATAATATACATACATATATATATATATATATATATATATATATATATATATATATATATATAGAAATAATGGTTTTATGGTTGACATAATATAAGGTGCATCTTTTGCTTCTCCTTTTACCAAAAAAAATAAAAATATAGAAGCATAATTATCCCTTCTATCATTTCAAAAAACAAAATGATAATGCGGGTTCTTTTTTTCATTTTAGATCCTGTAGTGAGTGAAGGTTTGGTGCTTCGGAAGGCTATGGATTAGGTTATTTACTAAGGCTACAATGGAATTGTAATTGCGATTGATGTGATATTTGATGGGTTTTCATCTCTTTTAATTAGCTTTTTGGTAGAGACATTTGTGAATGGCTTCATCATCAAGCTAGTTTTGGTTTGGCATAGTTGTTGGTCACGCTTTGAAAGAAAAAAATACATATTTATGGAAAGATAATTTTCAAGATTTTGTTTTGGATAAAGCTCATTTGGATGTAATTTCAGATTCTCTCTCTATATATATTATTTATACAAACAGACTTAAAATATGTAACCCTTGTTACCCATATGTGAAGCATCAGTGATATATTTACTTTCGATAATGAAACAAATCAATAGGAAGAAGAAACAGACGAAGAATTGATAATGGCCCGACAATGGTTGATGGAGTGATATGCCTTTTTTGGAAGTAAAGAAACACATTTTATTTTTATTTTTTTATTTTTTATTTTGCTTTTAATAGGTGTTGTTTTGTTCTTGTTGGGGATGCCTGCATCATTTCTTCTTGTTTGGGGTGGTAGAGGGACTCTGGTTGTTAAATTATTTAACAAGTATTTTTTACTAAATTACCCTCATTTGGTCACCATTTAGTAATAATTTTTAAGTTTGCTATTTGTCTATTTTGGAGTTTAAGGTCTCTAAAGATCAATTTTTTTTTTTTTTTTTGGTCACCAAAGAAAAAAATAGTAAAAATTATATCAGTTCTGACTTTTTCTTTTTTTTTTTTCATTGAATAACAAGTACTAAAAAAATTCAATAAGCAAGTAAGATGTACATTAAATTGGACCTACCAAAGAAAGGGCCAATAATCAAGACTCAGTGAGTCGCAGAAGGGCCGAGGGCGCAGAAGCCCTAAGAAACGAAAGCAAATAAACCCTATCATATTAGGCCCAATCACGTGACAGTCGACTATACACTACATTAGATATAATATCGCAATTACTCAACCATAGAAGAGAGATTGAGTTCTGGTTATGCTTTCTTCATACGATCTTTTCTAATCAAGAAAAGGAAGTTGATTTTGGAAGAACCGAGTCTACTCAACTATAGTATATGGAGGTTGATCGGAGTAAGTTGAAGGAGGTCGAGACGGACCAAGAAAGCGAGGGATCGTCGGAAGAAATGATCGAGTCTCCGAGATCGGTGGCCAAGGTCCGGCGATTGAATAACTGCAGCAATTTCGAATATGCAGAGGCCGGTTATCAACCTAATAGCAGAGGATTCGCATCTTGAGGAGGAATACTTCATTGGCAATAAGTGTTGTATGGCGAGCCCAATCTTTCCCCCTTCGCCATCATCAGGGTTTGCTTTAATTTCTCTCACTTTTTTCTTTACTTATGTCAAAATATATATTTTTTCATTGGAGAATTATGTGTTTGATTGAAAATGGGAAAAAACATGGTATGTTTTATCAAGTTCTCCATAATTTATTTCATTGGAGAATTAAGTTCCATTAATAATATAAAAAGATAGAGAGAAGAACTTTAATTTTTTTTAATGAATAATTTATTGTAACAAATAATTATAGTATGTTTTATCCATTCTTTTAAAAATGGTTTAAAATGTATGCATGTTTTCCTGCCTGTATCCAATAGTCCAGGCCTTTTAGTGTTTTCAAATTATTGATACGAGGCAATGCATTAGGCTTCTGATATTTTTCTTAATGGTTCAAGTTTAGGGCTTTTAAAGTGCCTATTTTTGGTTGTCTTGGTTGAGTATTTTTCTTTTGTTGCACCTGTATATCAGGCAGAAAGAACCATAGTTCTCGAGAGAAAGCGGAAAAAAGAACAAAAGGAAGAGGCTGAAAAGCATCTTTGCCTTCAAAAACAACGGGTATAATCATAATGTTTTGTTACGTTTTTCTGTTTGTTTGTTTTTAAGTACATTTTCCAAGCCTAAATTGGCATACAATGAGTATCAACTTTGAAAATATTGGATTGGGCAATTTCCCTTTGTCCATACACAGATTTACAGATTTATAAGGATTTGTACATTTATTTATTTATTTATTTATTTTTTATGTATAAGGTTTTATGCTTTAAATACGTCCCACATTACAGCACATTAGATGGCTGGGCATTGGCGGCTTATAGGCATGGAGTCTTATAATGTGGCAGGGATTTGAGTCTACATCCTCTACGATAACAATTTGAAATCATTATTAATTGCTTCTGCTTTAATGGATTGAAGTTCTGAATATTCTTAATTGGAGTTCTGGATTTTTTAAGTTAATTCCTAATAATTGATAAACTTTGTCGTGTAGGGTAATGTGAAATAGATTGTGTCTAAAAATCCGAGACTACTTACAGCACTTCTTGAACAAATCTCTGGGTCCGATGAACTCAAGAGAGAGTACGGGGAACTGGTAGAACAAAAAGCCGGAGGTGAAGAAAAATCCACACCTGTATATGAGACAGAAAGAACCATAGTTCTCGAGAGAAAGTGGAAAAAGGAACAAAAGGAAGAGGCCGGAAAGCATATTTGCTTGCAAAAACAACGGGTATGATCATTAACATACAATGAGTATCAACTATTGGATTGTACAGTTTCCCTATCTATGTCCATACACAGATTTATATGCATTTGTACATTTATGCAGTTTTTTTTATAAGGTTATATGCTTTAAATATGCTCCACATTACAGCACTAGATGGCTGGGCATTGGCGGCTTATAGGCATGAAGTCTTATAATGTGGCAGGGATTTGAGTCTTCTGCGATAGCAATTTGAAATCATAATTAAATTGCTTCTGCCTTTATGGATTGAAGTTCTGAATATTCTTAATTGGAGTTCTGGGATTGAAGTTCAGAATATTCTTAATTGGAGTTCTGGGTTGTTTAAGTTAATTCCTAATAATTGATAAACTTTGTGGTGTAGGGTAATGTGAAATCAATTGTGTCTAAAAATCCCAGACTACTTACAGCACTTCTTGAACAAATCTCTGGGTCCGATGAACTCAAGAGAGAGTATGGGGATCTGGAAGAACAAAAATCCAGAGCTGAAGAAAAATCTGCACCTTTATATCAGAAAGAAAGAACCATACTTCTGGAGAGAAAGCGGAAGAAACAACTGGTATGATCCATACTGTTTTATTATATGTTTTTCGGTTTGGTTACATTTTTAGTGATAGTTATCAACATGTAAAGGTGAATTTGTGGTCATTTATTTGGCTCGACTTTGTCAACCTTGGGAATTGTCATGGATTCCACTCTTTATTTAGAGAGGAATCCAGTCCTTCACTGGACTTTGCTGTCACGGGCTTAGGCTCTATGTTAATCGTTACCATGTTCTTTCCAGAGTCTATTCCTCTTATTAGTGATTATATATTGTTATTTTAAGATGCAATATCACTGTTTATATTTTAATTTTTTGAGTTTCATTTAGTGACGTACAGTTTTATGTGATATCATTTTCGCTATACTTTGCTTATTGTAATAAAAAATTAAAAAATTATGTTTTATCAGTTCTTTTAAAAATGATTTAAAATGTATGCATGTTTTCCTGCCTTTCCCTTTTGAATTTTTAACTGTATCCAATAAGCCTTTATGCTTTCATCAGGCTATCATTTTATTTTTATTGGTTCAAGTTTCACGAGTTCAGTTCTATTCTCCTTATAGGGTGTATAATGGAGACAGCATTGAGGACTTTTAAAGTGCGTATTTTTTAATAATTGAAGAATTATTTGGCTGTCCAATGGATGTTGGTTGTGTAACTATCTTTCCTTGATAACATAAGAGGGGGCATTGGTTGATGCAATGGTAAATGTTTGTGCTGAAAGTTAATAGTGTGAGGATGGGTATATGAGTATGATATTAGTCACTCCGTGCAAAATATTGTCAAAATCTCTAGTCTACCCCCGGCACCCTGCATAGGCAGGACCAATACTGGATAGTGATATGAGAATATGAAGGGGGACAGCGGAGGAGTTTAGGTACTTTTGATAAGCATAGCAATTTTATGTGTCATCTCTCTTGCTCTCTGTTGGTTCTTGAAAATATGTTAAATATACTTGTTACTATAAATTATGTAAGAAAAGAGCCTTCATGATTCATGCCTAAACTTCAGTTTGATCTTCTAACACAGGGATGTTCATCAGTCCAACCAAGTCCAACATAGTCATCCTTTCCAAGCCCTATACCTTCTTCCCATGCCAGCCCACCGCATCTTTCTTCCCCAGATTGGAGTGGTGCAAAGCCAAAACGCTTTTGGGAATCGCTTTCCAATGGCTCATTGCACTCGGTTTGCCATCCCCCTTTTGCTGCTTCTGCCCCGGCGAGTTGCTGCCACCATCCTAAACCAACCACATCTGCTTCTGCCCCAGAATGTGATGAATCTGCCTAACTTAGTTCCCTCTGGGATGCAGTTGATGGGCATGAAGAGCTGGGATGGAGCGGCACAGATGGTACATGGTAAGAAAATTGTATATTTTCACATCTGTAGACTCCATTGTAACATCCTTGACAATATCTGACCATTCACAGTTGGTCCATTGGTGGTATGCTGAAATCACAATCTTGCTCGAGTAAAATATGTTGCTTGTTGCGTTTTATCTTTGTTCTGTTGTAGTTACTTGTTTTGTGAAACTTAAGTACAGAACTTTCCCATTAGGCATAAACAATTCATCATCATGGCTATATATATATATATATATATATATATATATATGTCAAATTACTCGTATTGTTCTCTTATATACATGGCATCCTAAACCTGCACTACCCTAAAAAAGGAAAAGTGTTTTCTATTTATATGTGAAGAAATTATTATTGTCATTAAACCCATTTTATATGTAAAGAAATTATATTAAACTATTAGCAGCAAAAGTCAAGAACAGTTATTAGGACCAATGACCATTCGCAACCGTGTACTCGGTCACATAACTGTGCTAGTAAAATCTTAAATTATGTAGGCCTAATAGGTGCGTTTGATTTTTTTTTTTTGCCTTTTCCCCACAACCTTAAGCTATTAATAAGAAAAGGGTAAAGCTAATATGAAAAGGGTAATGTTATTATGAGGTCTCTTATGATATTTTTCATGACCTATTATTTCAATTAGTTTACTTTAGGTAAAGAATAATGCACTAACTTATATCATTACGTTGTCAATATTAAAGTAATTTCACTGTATCAAAATATCATAGAATAAAATTATTCAAGTCGGTTAAAGTTAATTGTGCAATTTGGTATGATAAAAAATAAATTTGTGTGTAAAATCTGGACTGATTCATGTTATCTAATGTAAATAAATTTTAGTACGAAAATTGATTATATAATCTTCTTTCAAATGCTTAGATCCTCAACGTTTATATATGATCATGACAAAAATATAAAATGCATGATGAAACCTTGTGATAACAGTATTCGTATGAAAAATTGTACAGCGGCCCAAAAAAAAAAATTTACCAGGCCATTGGGTCAGAACAAACATATGGGCCATTTACAGCAAAATACTACATTGATAAACTTTCCCATACAATTGAGTCCATCTCGGCCCAGCCGAGCAATTGTTGTGACCTTTCCAAAAAAATAAAACACGTAGGTCCAAAAATATATTAGGAGAATTCAAATACGTGTACGTATGTATGTATGTATATATATATATATATATATATATATATATTTGACAGATACATATATAAAGAACTTCTGTTAACGTCACTCGTGGAACAATTCCGAATTTTGTTACGGCCAAGGTTCTTCAAGAAGAAATGTATTGTTTGATATTCTTTTATAATAATTTTTTTAGGTCAAAGTATAGAAAATCCTCCTCCACTTGTATCATTTTTCGATAAATCCCTTTATCTATTTTTTATCAAAGAACCCCCTTGACTTGTAACTTTTTTTTCAATAAATCCCTCTTGTCTAATTTTTTACCAAAGAACCCCCTCAACTATCTGGAAGGGATAAAAGAGTTGATATTTGGATCAAAATGCCCTTTTATTTAAATCTTAATTCTCTCGAACTTTAAAAATTCATATCTCACAAACCGTACATTTAAAAATGGTAAATAATACATGCACGGAAAGCTTATGAAATAAGAATTTCAGAAATATAAGATTTGTACAACAAGTCTTCATAACCAAAGAGAAATGGGTAATTTAAAAATCTACTCTAACAATTTTATTTTATTTTTAAAAATAAAATACTTGAGATATTTGTAAGAAAATTTTTAAAATTATTCATTTACATATGAAGCCAAATATATAAAAAAAATTTAGCCCCAACAATATCAATTTCATGTATAAAAAATTTAGCCCCAACAGATATCAATTTCATGAGATATTATATTTTGCGTCAAAATATTTTCATTCTTTTATAGACTCACCATTTTTAAAAAAATAAAAAAGAATATTTGGTCTCTATTGGGGCTAATTTTTTTATATGTTATGATCCATATAAAAATGAATAATTCTGAAAATTTTCATACAAATAATTTGAGTATTTTATAAAAAATAAAATAAAATAAGATTTGTACAGTAGATTTTTAGATTGTTTATTTCTCTCTGGTTATGAAGTTTAGTTAAAAAAAAAAAAAAAATCCTTGTTTTATTAGCTTTATGTGCATATATTATTGACAATATTTGGATGTACGGCTTGTGATATATGAATTTTTGAATTTTAAAAATATTAAGATTTAAATAAAAGGGTATTTTTGTAACACCCCCACATTTTCCACGCATAAGTTGATCAGGCTTATACACGAAAAACGAGGGATATCAAAAACAATTGGCAATATACAAGCATGGAATACAAAATGATGATAATAAAAGAATTTAGACCGGAAAGGAACACTAAATAATACAACATCCATCCATCCTTTATTTAATACAGTACTTCATTACAACTTGGAAATCCTACGTCAGGGATCCCTAAATATAACCCTGAGAGTTCAACGTCAAAAGTAAATAAAAACTGAAACTGAAATACTACATAAAACTTCTACCCTGCACTGGATCGTAGGAGTAGATGAGTTCGGATGATGGTCCCACACTGCTAACCTCAGCCTTGAAACGGATACTGACCGTATCCTGAAATAACAACAATGGTGGGTCAACCCCACGAGCAAGTCCTCTCTACTATGACCCAAATCAGAGAATCAAATAAATTAATCATTATGAATCGGATGAGTACTATATCTGTATACATCCTACGGGAACTATCCGATGTATAACATGACCTCAACCAGAATAGACGGTGATCACTTAGACTCACACTAGGTGGTCAAGTGTCGCCTTTCCCTACCCGGGAAATCAGCTATTATACATGGTGTACGGTACTGACAACACAGACTATAACGAACTACACAGTGATAACACCTCGCAAAGTACTGATGAATATACTGAGCATATAAATTAGGCAACACATGCCAACAATATTAATAAATGTACCGAGAATGTCAATTTAGGCAACACATGCCAATAATATTAATAAATATACCGAGTATGTCAATTAGGCAACACATGCCAATAATATTAAACCACATACCCCGACAGCCACACATCTGTCTATCGCAACGAATGCATAAGGTATAAATGAGTCTAAACTTATTAGCCAGCTCATATGGTTCTATATGGCAACACATCCATATAATATAAATGCGACATAATTAAACAGTCCATTTATTTCCTGAAATGCACACAGCATAATAATCATGGTTTATATATCAATTAACAGTATAAACATCCTATAAGATATCATGGATAATTTATCTGACTAAAACCATGGCCTTATTTAATTTAACAGTAATGTTTGATACCATTAAATACGATAATAACACTATTTATATTTAACAATGTCGTTAAATAAATCACATTAGTATCCGTACTGCGAACGAGCCAATAAATGCTTAGAAAAGATTAATCGGCCATAAGAATAAGTAACGGGTGTTAAAATAATAATTTCGTGGCCCGTTAAACCCGTAATTACCAACACAGTACCTAAAAATCCAAGTTTAAGGTTCTGGAATTTACAAAACAGGCCCTAAGGGTATTCTGGTAATTTCCAGCAGCTGTAGGGACCCCACACGCGCCCTCACGCGCCTCCCAGAGCCTCCCCACGCGCAGCCCAACCTTCCCCACTCTCCCACGCGCCTCCACGCGCGTCTGGCATCAGCCACGCGCTCCCACGCGCGCACTAAGGGTGCCTTGCTGATGTGTCACTTCCTGGTTGGTTGGCTGCATCCGGATTCCGTACTTGCGTCACACCGGATCATCTCACCCTATCTTCCCTCCATCCAACGCCCACAGATCCGGGTGTACCGCGGTATCATGGACCGCGATGCACCGGATCAATCAGACTCCACTAATGGCCAGGATGCGCGCGTACACCCTCCTATGGTGTGCCGCGTCGCACCGGATCACTCCGGTCGTCTCCCCCACTGCCGGCGACCGGAAAACTCGCCGGAAGGTCGCCGGAAATTGCAGAAAATGCCCGGAAAAATCTAGAAAATTCTAGAAAAATCCCTAAAGTCTTATTTAATTATTTTTAGCCATTATTAATTTCATAGGACATTAAATAAATATATACCATCCTATATAATTAAAATTCCATTAATTTAATAAAATAAAATTAATAATTTATTAACCTCCAAACCTTGGCTCTATGCATAAAAATAAGCTAAACAATTAATTTATTAATTCAAAGGGGAAAAGTAGATAATAACTTGCCTTTTTGGATTTAAAATAAATCCGCCGGTCTGCGCGTAGTCGGGTAAAATTGCCTACACCGGTCCAAGCTTCTTTCTCTTTCTCTTTTCCTTTCACTCTTATAAAATAGCTCTCTAGAATTTATACTTTGCTTCTAACTCCCTTTTATTTTTTTCTAAGGCAAGCTAGTTAATTTATAGACAAAATATATAATATAAATATTACAAATATCTAATTTATAATAACTTCTCACCCATTTCTCATATTCCTACCTATATGGCTTTAATTCCAACCATAACCATTGATGCAATCCTATCCTAATCTCTAATTTCATCATGACTTTGGTTTAATACTATTATTATTATTATAAATATTATTATTATTATTACTAATATTATTATTAATAAACTTTTATAATAATTATTATTATTATTATATTATTATTATTATTATTATTATTAAACTAATATAATTATTATTATTACAAAATAATACATTATATCATCATAATACTATATAACACAAATATAATACTTTAATTAACTAATAATGATTAATTTAAGCATAACCAACAAATGAAATTATTATTAATAATACATGCATAATTAAATGAATAAATTTACTATTTTAACATACACAATTAATTTACATGCACAATTAAATGAACTTAATATAATAATGTAGTATGCACAAATAAATAAAATTAATTAACCTAACACAAGATTAATTTAAATACATTCTTTAAAATTACGGGGTATTACATTCTCCCCCCCTAATAAAGGAATTTCGTCCCCGAAATTCACTACATACCTGTAGTAAAAAGTTCTGGATACTTGGCACGGATAATATCTTCCCGTTCCCAAGTAGACTCTGTAGCACTATGA